AGCTGGGGGCTGTGGCTTGTGTGGGCTGGAGGGGTGGATACTTGCTTGCCAGAGATCTCTAAGTTTTAGACTCCAAAGGTTCTCTCAGGCTCAAATGGGGCTTAACAAGGGGAGAGGGTGGAGGTGGACTGGCTTCCCCACAGTGAAGGATGGTGAAGTGCCCCAAGGTAGAATGGGAACCGGAACAGTGACAACGAGGCTGCACTCTCCCTCACCTGGTGCTTTCTGTTTCTCTGAGTCACGGAAGTGCCATAGCCAAAGCGACCTTGGCAATCACCTCTTAACCTGACCCCTCATTTCACAAAGGAAAGGGCGAGTGGCTTCTCAAGATGAGTGCTTCTGCGGCACAGCAGGAGCCTCAGGTCTTTGGATTCCTAGTCCTGTGTTCCTTTTCTATATCAGGCTGCCATCTTTCAAGAGTCTCTTCCAAACAGTCTCTCTTGACTGCCTAGAAAATAAACAAGTTGAGGTTTGACTGGAGGCTGAACAAAGGGAAAAGCCCTGGGGGGGCGGGGGAGGGGGGAGCCCATTCCTTTATCAGAATATTGATTCTGGATAATTTCTACATTTCTGCATGAATTTGGGACAAATCCTTGTACTTCATTGCATTTAATAGTTCACAAAGCACTTTCCCGGATATCATCTTTGAGACTTCGGCTTCCTGGAAATAGTGTTGACAAATGCTCCACTGGGTGAGTAAGTCACTTAACTCTCCTCAGTTTTCTCCTTTGTTGAATGAAACTATGAATCTCTCTCACTATTGCAAAGGTAAAAGGAGGTCATTGATAAGACTGCTGAGGGCAATTAGAGTTCAGTAGATCTTAAACGTTCTCTCCTATAAATGATGTTCATTTCATATGTGAGAACACTGAGGTCCATGGAGGTGGAGTAATTCATGGTCATATGTCCTCCATGTGCAGGGCCAGGGCTGAGAAACTTTGTGTTTGGTTTCCTAGCACAGATTGCTAGCCCATGCACCAAGCAGGCCCAGACACCTTTCTTACTCCCTTCTTCCAAGGAAGAGCCCCTCATACTTCTGCAGGGAACTCCTGCTTGCTTCTGCTGGGGGCAGGACTCTCCCGGAACTAGCTACCTCCATGGGCAGAGCCTCCACCTCCAGGATTTCCCCTCAAAACTTGCACTGACTGCTTTGTGCTCAGGGCTGGGCTGCCCTCAGAAGGAATGTGAGGAGCAGGTTACAGCTTGTCTTTCAATCCCCGAGGCTCATCTGATTTCCTTGTTTTGGTCACTGGGGCTTTCTCCACTCAGGTTATCTCCTTAAATGGGGCAATTTTTAATATCACTATTAAGCCACCATTTCTTTCTGCTTACTTATTTTTGGCTTCACTATTTTCCAAATTGAATCACAGAATGTCAGAGCTGGGCAGAGAATCATTTTAATCCAGGACTCCACCCTACAGATGAAGAAATTGAGGCCCAGAGAGGAGAATGGATTTACCCAAGTCAGGCAGATAGAAGCAGAGTGATCCTAGAGCTCCCATAGCCCGACTTCTATCTCATCTAATGTTTGTTACACTTGTCTTTCTAGTTAGTCTCCTGTTCATCTTAAAATTTTCCTTGATCATTTCTGGTCTTAAATTGTGGTGGTGGTTCTTCAGCTTTTTAATTAATATCACTTAAATGAGAGGCACGCTTTGGTTAAATGTAAATGTATGGGCTTTGAAGTTACCTGCCTTTAGGACTCCTGTTTTCTTATTTGTAAAAGGTGTAGAGGCTTAGCTAATATGCTTGATTTTTAAGGATTAAATATAAGATATGAAAAGATTGAGTGTATATTTCTTAAATGATCACTTGTGTTAGAATGATAGGAAGGAACCCAAGAACCAGGGGTGGGGGTGGGGGGATAGCTACCAATAGCTGAACTCTTCAATGCAATGTGAATAGTGCTCCCATTCCACTTTCTTAAGGAGACATCTCTTTCTGGAGACTTCTATTAGGGGGAATAGAACAACCTTGGAAGCTACCATTTACAAAAGCAGAGCTCTGGCCCACCTGGCCAATACCAAGTGAGGCACTCACCTTTAACTGTGATGTGAGAAAGAAATGTCTTCGTTTTCAAATTACATTATCATTGTGTCTCTATAATAGTCTTTTATTTTAGCACACACTCTAACTAGCATGGGTGGCTATGTTATCATTCCTGTCGTAAATGAAAACATACTTGCCTGTGGGCACGCATCTAATAAGTAAGTAACACATTTGGGATTAGAACCCGGGCAAACTGGCCCTCAAATCCATGTTCTTAACCAATGTGCTATACTGCCTCTTAGAATTTATACATTTGCAAGCCAGAGTATATTAGTTTTAATAATTTATTATAATAATAACATATGTATTATCTTACATTTCTCTAGGTCAGAAGTCTCACAATAAGTTTCCTTGGGCTAAAATCAAGGGCATAATTGTGTCTACCACACAATGTCCCCCAATCCATGCTCTTCACCAGTTTACTATCCTGCCTCTGTAGAACTGTATGCCAGCATGTATTTTTGTATTTAGTTACAAGAGGGCTCTTTCTCCCACAGCCCTCTCCTCTATCCCTTTTGAACAAAGCCTCCCAAGGAGGAAATAGGCTCTTGGGAGGATTATTCCTGTATCACACACAGGGGTGAACAGGGTGTCTGGTAGCTAATAAGCTCTCAGGAAAGTGTGTTGAATTGAACCGATACCAATGGCTGCCACTATTAAGCCAGCGATTTTCAACCAATGTGTTGCAAGAATTTTTAAAGCATGCAATACCTGAGTGTTTAGTCAGGGATACTGACCTCTTTGCCATTACATTGTCAAATAAAATAAAATGACCACAGCCAGCACAACAATAGCTGTCTGGTGTGAATGAATCAAAATTATACCATTTTTTTTTGGATCAGATCTGCAAAAATTAAAACATTATTTGATGTGCTGCAGAATTTTAGTAATTAGTTTATGTGCTCCAGGAGATGAAAAAGGTTGAAAATCACTGAATTAAGCACATTAAGATGTGCCAAACACTGCCCTACAAGCTTTATCCTGATGACCTCAATCATTTCACAACAATGCCATGAACATGAAGAAGCATGTTCTTCGATTCCTGTTTTACTGGTGAGGAAACCAAGGCATAAATAAATGACTTGCCAGAAATCACACAGCTGGTCAGGAGTACAGCTAGAATTCACACCCAGAACTCTCCTCCTCAGAGCCTGAGGTTCTATAGCTCATCTCTGCGACCCGGCAGGGCAAACACCTGGGTTCCATGCCAAACAGTGATGCTGTCAGTGGGGAGGCTTATTCTCGGGGACCCAGACGGAATCCCTCAAAGGACCACTTGGGAAGTTGATGGATTTCTTTTACAATCAAGAGTGAATCCTGGTAGACATCTTCTGATTGTAATTTTCTTCCTGGAACCATTCTCTGTCATTGCTCAATCCCATCAGAAATTTCATGACTGCTTTTTATGACAAATCTAGGAAGGAGTTGTTGGGAGGGTGGGGTGAGTAGAAAAGTACACTGAAAACGGAAGAGCTGGGTCTGCTAGCACCTCAGCAAGCCATATATCCTCTATTTCAGTGGAAATTCGTGGCTCCATGCTGTAGAAGGAGGCCAAATCAAGATGGGTGAAACGGGAAACAAAAGGATCCAGAGTGACAGTCGATCACACTAACCAGTGGGTCAACAGCAGACAGCTCAGCTTACCAACGCATCACAGCCTGTGTCTTTGAAAGAACAGGCAGGAATCACTTGAGTAGATCATTTAACTCATTAGAAGTGTTGTGTCCTTATGCCCCGCAACTGGATCTAGCTTAGTTTAATTAGTAATCCTACCGCTCTCAGTTCCTTTGGGAGCTGGTACTGTTGGAGGAAATGTTTTGGCCACCCAAATACTTTGATGGGAAGCACATCATCATATGCTACTGAGACACAATGTGGTACAGAAGGTATCAACTCAACAGGGTCAGGAGATGAAGCCTGCTGTCTCAGTTCTCTCTTTTTAGCTGTGTGAAAAGGTAGATCAATTCCCTGACCCTCACATTTACATCACAAAATGGGTCTAACAATATCTACTCACTTTAGTTTATAGCCCTTCTGTCTCCTGTCTTCTTATATCACTTCCTCAATGGGAGTGATATAAGCTTGACCAAGTGGCCAGTTTGACCAGTGCTGGACATAGCTAGAGTACAGATGTCCTGAGTGACTGGGTGGTTACCCTGAACCTTCACAAGTTGGACAACCTGTGACCTTAAAGATACTGAGGGTTGATCATTCAGTCAATCTTTCAAATATTTTTTTTATTTTATTTTATGCCAGATACTGTGCTAGTTTGAGGAATATGTGATGGATCAGTGGTTCTCAACCTTCCTAATGCCGCCACCCTTTAATACAGTTCCTCATGTTGTGGTGACCCCCAACCATAAAATTATTTTCGTTGCTACTTCATAACTGTAATGTTGCTACTGTTATGAATCGTAATGTAAATATCTGATATGCAGGATGTATTTAGGCGACCCCTGTGAAAGGGTCGTTCGACCCCCAAAGGGGTCACGACCCACAGGTTGAGAACCGCTGGATTAAATAGACATGGTTTCTCTGGTGCTCATTTATCTTTTTTGTTTTCTTGCTTACCTGGCATCCCAACAACCTTCTCAATGAAGGAAACATTCCATAATGTGAGTCTTGGTGAGAGGCTCTCTGGTCCTGCTCCTGGCTGCTGGGAAATGGGCGTGTGACCTGGTTCAGCCAATCGAACTGTCCTGCTTGGGACATTGATCTAGAGCAGCGGTCGCCAACTGGTGGTCTGCAGGCCACCAGTGGTCCGTGAGGTTCGAAAGGTTGGTGACCGCTGATCTAGAGGATATGAAGCCATACATCAGGCCACTTGATAAATCAGCCACAGCAGCATCAGCTTTGCCAACAGTACAACTGCCAAGCGTCCAGTGGCAACAGCCCCAGTGAGGGCATTTTCATTAGACTGTCCCATAGCTGAAGGTTGGCCATGTTCCTACTGCCCAGACAACCTTACTTGCTGGACATTTTCTGAATATGGTTCTCCTGCCTTCCCATTAATTCTGTGAACTTACCCCAAATCTTCCAATAAATTCCCTTTATGCTTAAATTTAGCCAGAATTGGTTTCGGTTGCTTACAACCAACAATCTGACTGGTAGAGTCCATGCATTTGAGGAAATGAAAGGCCAGAGGCAGGGACAGTCATTAAGTGCATAGTCACATAAGTAAGGGCACAATTAAAAAATGAGGTAAGTATTCTAAAGAAAAAGAGCATATCTGAGAGTTCTGACCTGGTCATAGGGGAAGTCACATCCTTAAGGAATTGATGCTCGATCTGTAATTCAAGGTATGAATAGATATTATTTATGCACAAAGAGAAGCATTTTAGTGAGAGAGAAGAGCATGTGCAAGGGCCCCTTTCTCCCTGCGGACAGAGCCTTACCCCACCCCAGTCAAGAGTATGGGGAAATCATTGAAAAATAATATTTTTTCCTTTTTTGTTTTTTTTAAACAGATAACATAATCGATTGTGTTTTAAAAGGATCACTCTGGATTGAGTATGGAGAATAGAATGAAAAAGAACAAGATGAGAGGCAAGGGAGTAATAGAACCAGAAGAAGAAAAATCTCTGGTGAGAGATAAAGGTAGTTTGGATTGAGAGCAGGTATAGAGGATGATGATGATGATGATGGAGAGAAGTGCCTGCATTGGAGGGATACTTAGGATATAAAATCATTAGGACATGAGTGTGGATTCTATATGGGCTGGGGAGAAAGAGGGAGATGGCAAGAATGGTTCCCAGGTTTCTGTCCTTCATGACTGGTTGGTGGTACCATTCCTGTGACAGAGGCCACAGGAATATGGGCAGTTTGGTGGGAGCAGAATGATGAGTATGGTTTTGGACATGCCCAATTCAGCCAGGAGTAGGATATAGATGCCTGGTGTATTGTGGGCTGGCGATGGGAGTTTGGGAGGTACTGATATGTAGGGTAGCACTTACGAGCCAGGGGCAGGGATGCAATTGCCGAAGGAAAAGGTAATAGACCAAAAGGGGAAGAAACGAGCACTGCACCTCAAAAGACTCCAGCCCTTCATGCCAGAAAGAGGAGAATGAGATGGCAAAGGAAACCGAGAAGGGTCAAAACCCAGGATGGAGATGAAAAGGTAAGATTGGCACCAGGAACTAAGGCTAAGTGAGAGTCAGGGCAACAATCAGACCTGAGGGGAGCACTGTTGGGAGCAAAGCCCCCGACCAGGAGCAATCTGAGTGTTTGCCATTTATGTTTATTGTCCACCCACTGCCGGCTGTTTGGGGTCAACCATCTGGGAAAAAGGAGAGGAATGGAGTAGACGGATCAAATCCGTGAGTGTGCTCTGGTAACGTAAGTGGGTCCAAGAGGTTTATTAGACAGCCTGTGGCAAAACACAAAATGATTAATGACGAAAACAAGCATATTCTATCAGCCAAGCGCCAATCGGCACGATGACACTATCCCCAGAACATTCCTGGGTTCACATTTCCTAATGGGCTGCCAGAAGAAACGAATCCCTTCAAATCAAGACTCGAACACAAAGGAATTCCAGAGACACTGGGGAGGAGAGCGGGGTAGGCAGCCCTCTCACCAGTGTGGGAAGGGGGAGGGGAGGAAACGCAGGACAATTTAAATTTCCAAACTGTGGGAAACACGTACAAGGCAAGACTTGTAGGTGCAAATTCTGGCAAAGCTACTTCTCAGCGTAAACATAGAAGCCAATGTAAAGCACTTAGATTAGTCCCTGGC